ATTTAAAAAAAAAAAAATTATAATATATATATATATATATATATATATATATACATATATAAAATAAAATAAATAATATAATATAATAACATATTGTTGTCCCTGTGAGACTTAAGTCTTAATTATAAATTAGGGAAGCCCATTTCAGCCACATAAGATAAAGTCATTATTTGGTAAATCTTTTCAAAAAAGTGTTAATTATGACAGTGTTGTTGTTTTATTTATTTTTATTATTATTATTTGCCACGACTTAATTGTCAGTTTGTCGTAACTCTGACTCTTTATGTCATAATTGTTTTTAATGTGATGTTACCAAAGTTGTCGACTTTTAATGTCATAGTTCTTGCTTTTAATGTCATAATAATTATCATAATTTTGACTTTTTATATCATATGACTTTTATGTCATAATTTAATTTGCGGCTTCTTCCACAGTGACAACAATCATATTGGCTGTTCACATGACTGGCTTTTTATGTAAATATTATGCATTTTTGTAAGCGTGTTTAATCAAAAGGAATACGTTACCAAACTGTCGTTTGTTTGGTATTTTTTATCCAACAATTTATGACTACCTGCGTGCCTTATTACCGCTTCTAACCCGCTTTTTAGATATTTTTTTCCAAATAATTCTTCCTCGGACTTAGGCTAGAACGGTGAATGGAAGCGTTAAGGAGCAGAAATCACTCAAATAAATCGGAGTCGAAACTAGTTATTTTCCTAGCGATTCCCTCCCAAGCCTGTAGTCTCTGGACTGCTTCTCTACAGCGCGCGGCAGTAGCGAGCGCTTCGAGTTCAGCTCAGTCCTGGCTGTGGATCGAGTAAAAGAAACATCTTCCGTGGTAAAAGTTCAAGAATATGGCGGCTTAGGTGAAGATGCTCAATGTTATGTGGCCATGCTGGAATCTGTTACTATATAATAATTCTATACCAACTCAATTCTTTAGGATTTGACTGTATGTTATGCGTAGACTGTTAATTATAACTAGATATAATCTTCAATATGTTGCGGGCTTTATCAAGGAGTCATGCTCCTGTAGCCCGGCTTCTCTCTCCTCGCACTGCTGTTTTGGTCGAGACTGTCAGGGGGAGAAAATCTCGCACAGACCCCAAAGCGAAGTCAAAATTGGGACGGATCAAGACTCCCCCTCCCGTGGATCCAGTAGAAATGGTTGTACTAAAGGAGCGTTACACGGAGTATAATCTGATATTAAGAGCCCTGCGGTAAGACTGCATGACATTGAAGGAGTAGTTCACGTCCAGAATAAACATTTCCTGATAATTTACTGGATAACGTGGGGGTGAGTAAATTACCAGGACATTTTTATTCCGGACGTGAACTACTTCTTTAAATCATTTCCCGACTGATTATGATGTCCAGTCAGTCACCAGTGAATAAATCTGTGTTTCTGATTACTTAAACCATTTGAGTTTGAGACTGACATAATCTCAATTGACATAATGTAACATTTTATGCATGTAGACTTGAGTTCAAGGAGCAGATGTTGAGGAAGAAATATGAAGAGGAGGTTGGTTCTGTGGCAGAGGAGAGAACTAAAAGGGAGGCAGAAGAGCATCGGTCACTGATGGCCTTGAATGATGCTGAAAACCTCAGAATGCGTAAAATACGGTGAGTGGTTTAGATGTGAGATAGATACGTGAGGGGCATTTTGTGAGAAGGTTCTGGCTGCATCTGAAATATAGGCTAAAGACAGTATCTGAACAGAGTAGTATGTCTGAATTCACAGTATTTATAAAACAGTAGGCAAAATGGGCACTTTACTGTCCCATGAGGCCGCAGGAGAAAATTTGTGAATGGCAGGTAAAGTTTCTGGGGGAGGGGCTCTGATGACATTCCCTAAATGGCTGTTTTGTTTTAGTGGCTGTAGTAGAGCTGCACGATTATGACAACAATCATAATTGTTGATTATTCCCTTGAAATTGTAATTGCGATTATTAATTACGATTATCACAATTTACATTGAATGATGTTTCAGAGGAGACAAGCAGTGGATTTATTGATTTAATTACTGTATATTGCTGTTGCCACACAGATCTAAAATAAACAAGCGATTTATTTCCCAGCTGTTTACCTTCGCAGCCATAACCTAACGTAAACGTGTGTGTGAATGAGAACTTAGTTTAGTACTCGCATACACAGATCTAAAATAAACATGCGATTTATTTCCCAGCTGTTTACCTTCACAGACATAACCGACTGTTTTTGTAACTCGTGTGTTTTTAACGTAAACCTTTGTGTGAATGAGAACTTAGTTTAGTACTCGCATGCTGTGACAGCCACTTTCTGTCCGTGTGCGTCGGATGTGTGCGCTCAAAAAACCTTATATCTGAAGTTTAAACTCATATGGTTTAAAACACATGATTTCAGCATGATAAACATGATAATCAGAACCAAAACAGATGTTTTTTAGCAGATACTAGCTGTAAAGGCACAGCTCTATTCTGGAAAAGGGGGCAGGCAGCAGCAGCTCATTTGCATTTAAAGACACAGGCCCGAAAAACAGCGTGTTTCAGCTTCCACTCAAAATAGGCATTTTCTAAATTATATAATAAATTATCTGTGAAGTATTTTGAGCTGAAACTTCACAGACACATTCTGGGGACACCAGAGACTTATATTACATATTGTAAAAAGGGGCATAATATGTCACCTTTAATGTCAATCATCTGGTCTTCCAGAGAGCAACGCATGCAGAAGGAGGCTGAGGCCACGGAACTGAAGAAGAGAGAAGCAGCCATCTTACGCCAGCAAGAGCTGGAGAACTACATTAAAGAAAAAGAAAGACAGATTCTTCAACTACAGGTGAGTGCTTTTGCAGAAATTCTGTTCAAATTTAAACTATGTATGAGTAGTGCTGTCATGTTTTGTGTTGCAGTATTTTTATTTGATTGGTTTTTAAACTGAAGTTATTTTATAAATTTCTTGAAAAGGGTGACATGCATTGTTCATGTTTTTATAGGTACTTTTGATCAGGTAGGGTTTTTAGGGTTTCATGATTTAACCTCTCTCTCACCCTTGCATTCATCTGTGTTTCAGGAAGAGGCAAAGGACTTCATCACACAGGACAATCTAGATCAGCGTATTGAAGAGGCTCTTGACAACCCGAAAAACTACAATTTCGCCATTGATAAAGAAGGACGTGTTGTTAAACGGACTGCATTTCAGCGATAAATACAGGATTTCAAAAACCAAAATACCTGCAATGTACATAAAATATATACTGTCAGTGTCATCTTTTAAACTGTTTCTCAAAACTTATCCATATGAGTGCTTTGTTTTCTGCCCTCTGCAAGTTTTATGAGGGACTCGTTGAAAGTAGTGAGTGTGTGTTTATGTACTGTGTGAGGAACTCATCATTTTCATAATGTCTCAGATATACAGTACTAAAGTCTCTTAGAACTGTCTTGTTAAGAAGGTCTTCACTAGTTAAAATGGTTCATGCAGTAAATGCACCAGCTAACATCTTGTTTGACATCTAAAAATGTCCAGTAAGGGATATGGTGTGTGCTGAATTAATTCTAATTAACTTAAATGAAGAACAGTGGAAGTGCCATACAAAACATGTAGCCATAACACTTAAACATTATACAGTACATGTTAGCAAGAGACTATGGATGTGCTCCATTCAGAAGTGATTATTCCTATGCCCTCCACAATAAGAAAGAGTTAGAAGAGTGTAGGGCTCAAAAATAATTGACAGCTGTTATCAGGTTTTCACAGAATGTGGAACGTTAATATGTATTATTTTAAGATGTTTTGTTCCAGCAATTTCAATTAATAGATATTAAGTAGAACAGATTTGTGTGATTTTTTTCCCCTGGGTGATGAGTGGGTTTTTTAAAGTTTATGCGTTATTTTTTTAGTGTGAGTTCAGAATGGAGCTGTGATTACAGAAGCCGGGTGGAGAAATCTCTGTCACTCCGCTCCATTCATACACTTCCAGACCAGTTATTAATTTGTCCATGAGGTTAAATATTCACAATCCTTATATGATATATATATATATTTTAATTGAAGGCATGTCACAATAGCAACAGTTACTATACATACAGATCGAATAATCCACTTATTTATAGGTTATCAATATGAATACTGAAGATGATTTATTTTTATCCATAAAATGATTGAATAATAGTTCCATAATATTTTAAATTTTACTTTCTTGCCCCATCTTACATTAAATGAGAAATAGATGCTCAATTTGGATCTGCATAGCAAACTACTTGAAAAATATTATATAGCAGTTCATGTTTTTATAGGTACTTTTGATCAGGTAGGGTTTTTAGGGTTTCATGATTTAACCTCTCTCTCACCCTTGCATTCATCTGTGTTTCAGGAAGAGGCAAAGGACTTCATCACACAGGACAATCTAGATCAGCGTATTGAAGAGGCTCTTGACAACCCGAAAAACTACAATTTCGCCATTGATAAAGAAGGACGTGTTGTTAAACGGACTGCATTTCAGCGATAAATACAGGATTTCAAAAACCAAAATACCTGCAATGTACATAAAATATATACTGTCAGTGTCATCTTTTAAACTGTTTCTCAAAACTTATCCATATGAGTGCTTTGTTTTCTGCCCTCTGCAAGTTTTATGAGGGACTCGTTGAAAGTAGTGAGTGTGTGTTTATGTACTGTGTGAGGAACTCATCATTTTCATAATGTCTCAGATATACAGTACTAAAGTCTCTTAGAACTGTCTTGTTAAGAAGGTCTTCACTAGTTAAAATGGTTCATGCAGTAAATGCACCAGCTAACATCTTGTTTGACATCTAAAAATGTCCAGTAAGGGATATGGTGTGTGCTGAATTAATTCTAATTAACTTAAATGAAGAACAGTGGAAGTGCCATACAAAACATGTAGCCATAACACTTAAACATTATACAGTACATGTTAGCAAGAGACTATGGATGTGCTCCATTCAGAAGTGATTATTCCTATGCCCTCCACAATAAGAAAGAGTTAGAAGAGTGTAGGGCTCAAAAATAATTGACAGCTGTTATCAGGTTTTCACAGAATGTGGAACGTTAATATGTATTATTTTAAGATGTTTTGTTCCAGCAATTTCAATTAATAGATATTAAGTAGAACAGATTTGTGTGATTTTTTTCCCCTGGGTGATGAGTGGGTTTTTTAAAGTTTATGCGTTATTTTTTTAGTGTGAGTTCAGAATGGAGCTGTGATTACAGAAGCCGGGTGGAGAAATCTCTGTCACTCCGCTCCATTCATACACTTCCAGACCAGTTATTAATTTGTCCATGAGGTTAAATATTCACAATCCTTATATGATATATATATATATTTTAATTGAAGGCATGTCACAATAGCAACAGTTACTATACATACAGATCGAATAATCCACTTATTTATAGGTTATCAATATGAATACTGAAGATGATTTATTTTTATCCATAAAATGATTGAATAATAGTTCCATAATATTTTAAATTTTACTTTCTTGCCCCATCTTACATTAAATGAGAAATAGATGCTCAATTTGGATCTGCATAGCAAACTACTTGAAAAATATTATATAGCATACTACTCTTTATATAACGATATGGTAAAAAAGTAGTATGCTAGTCCACGGTTCTGAATCGAGTTCGACACAAAATTAATCAAAGATGTTTAATAGTTATATTACATGTATTACACTTTTACTCCAATCATATCTACATAATATTTCCGATTAGTTAGTTTTTACTTGCCACACTAGACAAAAATGTACGAATTAAGACGTGGTTTGTCAGATTTTCTACTTTCAGTACATAATAAGAGTAGGAATCTCCCACAGGGTTGCCAGGTCTGTTTAACAAAAACCAAGAAGCCCATGACCCTATCCAAATACCAAAACTCAACATAAGCCAATCCTAACATACGTATTTGACAGTCAATGTTATGTGTTATACACAATTTCAACTTCAAAATCACTAGTAGTAATCAAAAGTAAGCTGTTTTCATAAAGGAGATCAAAGGCTCCTTCATCAGAACTCTAATCAATCAGTTTTAATATTAGTAGAATGTAAAATATTTCAAAACACTAATTTCAGTCGATCACAATCTATGCAATATGTAAACCCCTTTCACGCCGGAGTTCAGGAGGCAGCAGCCGCGCTTGGACAGGGACTGTCTGGGACTCGGAGGAGCAGCAGCAGCAGCCTTATATTCATTGAGAGACGAGGACAGTAAAGATGCCCTACAGAGGACAGTCGCGGTCAGGAATTTGCTAATTGACAGCTTACTACCGACTGTCCAGTGTGCCTCTCCATTTAAACCTGACAGCCCGCGGTACAAGTTCACTTTCATCGCGGATGTGGTTGAGAAGTCCACTCCTGCTGTAGTCTACATCGAGGTCGTTGGGCGGTGAGTCTGTCAAAATACAATGAAACTGTGTTCTAGTCCTGCTGAAAACATCTCAGACTAGTTTATGATTGTTTCAGCTGGTTTAACCCTCTGGTGTTGTTCATTTTTGGGGGTCACACTTGAGTTGGTCGCGGTCAAAAATGACCGAACACCTGAAACCTTTATTTTCAGTGAAATCAATGTAATATATTTTTGTTCAATAATATTTTTTTTTTCTTTTGTTTTTATTTTCATGAGACTAATTAATATTTATGCAATAATTTATGATCAATTTTTTTCCTATTGAAAATACTTCCCCCCCCCTAATATTTTCTATTATTTTTCAATTATGGCAGTGTTTCATGTTAAAATAGAGACGATGCCTTTAAAATCCAGTTTTTGAAGGCAGATTAGTGCCATCTGGTGGGAGTAAAAAAGGAAAAACATCTGCAATTTCATGGTTTAGCCACTAGATTCCTATATAGCTCTATATCCTCCTGAGACCCAGCTATGGAGTTTTTGCCTCTGTAGTGGACATTATATTTTAGTGAATTTCTCTGAGACCTCACATGTCACAGTTTTAAGTCTGGATGTCCTGTACAGAGCACATTCAGGGCTTTCCACAGATACCAAATGATTGGATGTTTAATCATGACCACTCACTCTACTTGATTTTTAAAAATGGCTGACATTAATTTAGTGATAAAATTGTACATCCTTATGGAAATATGATAATATTATAATTTAAATCTGATTAATTTTCAAATTGTTTGTCATGAATCAACATCTCAGGAAAATGTTATGGGGTTTCAAATCAAAATATGACTTCCTGTTATGAAACAGGACATCATTTCATACATGTCCACTGTAGAGGACACCAGGACTAAAAGCATGTTTATTATACATTTTGGGAGACAAAAGAATTGAATAGGAAAACAAATTACATATCAATATTCTTATGAAATATTAGATATTATTATGAAAATCTGGCCAATTACTACTCCCATTATTAAACTTCTTTTTTCAACATGCTGTCCCTATACAGTGTATAGATAACATTGTGCTTAATGGGAAAACCAGTTTATGGAAGTTTTACACACATATTGCATAAAGCAAAATGGTATATCAAATAATTTTTGTTATATATATTTATAACATAGCTGAGAACCATCCTTAAACAAAGTTAGTTATAAAA